ACAGATTACCATAATTTGTTCTCCCCAAGGTGCTACTACTGCAACGGGCCCATACTGGATGTGAGTCACCGCTGTTTACATATGTTTGTCATATCTGCTGTATGTGACAGTCAGCCAGCAATAAGTGCTGTCATTGTCTGTTCAGAAAGTTGTGACGGCGCTGGACAGGACATGGCATCCTGAACACTTCTTCTGCGCTCAGTGTGGATCCTTCTTTGGCCCAGAGGGTATGTTGATTTGTTGTTGAATAATTACTATGACTTTTTATTTATGTGGCACATTCATTGTAGTAGAAACGATAGTTGCATTTTGATTAAAATCTGCCTCTTTCTGTTTTTCTATCAAGGCTTTCATGAAAAGGATGGAAAAGCCTATTGCAGGAAGGATTACTTTGACATGTTTGCACCAAAATGTGGCGGCTGTGCCCGAGCCATTTTGGAGAACTACATCTCAGCGCTGAACAGCCTTTGGCATCCTGAGTGTTTTGTTTGCAGGGTCTGTATCTTGCAATTCTGTCATTCTGGTGTTTTTTTATGTACCGGAGCTAGAGTGCCTCTGTAAGACATTGTAGTGAGAATAATAGCATCAGAATAAGGCCCTCAACAGACAGAGTGCATTTTAACAGCACGGGGGTTGCTTTTGTAATGGTGTCAGTGACAGTGAAGTGTTTTGCCCGCTGCTTTTGCTATGATGAGCGCGTTGTGTTTTTCTGCTGTATACACCTTGTGTTTTTGCAGAAATGCTTTGAACACCACCTGTCCATTTTTAATGCAGATATTAAGGTATAGATGTGAGTTTACTTCCAACAAACTAGCAGTTAAGCTAAGGACAGGTGATTCGGTGGTTGCCTTTTAACAATAAAAAGGGGGCGTTTTGCAAAAAGCGCTCTGTCTGATCGCGTCCTAACAGCATCTTCCTCTATTCTCTCTTATCTCCGTTTACAGGAGTGCTTCACCCCATTTGTGAACGGAAGCTTCTTTGAGCACGATGGCCAGCCCTACTGTGAAGTGCACTACCATGAGCGTCGTGGCTCCCTCTGCTCCGGCTGTCAGAAGCCCATCACGGGACGCTGCATCACAGCCATGTCCAAGAAGTTCCACCCGGAGCACTTTGTCTGCGCCTTCTGCCTGAAACAACTCAACAAGGGCACCTTTAAAGAACAGAACGACAAACCCTACTGCCACGGCTGCTTCGTCAAGCTGTTCAGTTAGAGAGTGAGGGAGAGCATTTCACAGTTCTGGGTCAGGGCTTTGATAAGTCTCTAAAGCATCTTTAGCACAGGTAGGGGGGGATGGGATTAATTGTGTTTGTATCAAAGAAGGTTGTCTGTATTCTGATGATGACATTGGAAGTGTTTATGGGTTAGGTACTGTATGTGCATGTGGTTGAAGCAGCATACTGTCTCTGCCAGACTATAATACCTTTAACTTGTCCTTCAGAAATTTGGAGAAACTATTTTTAGACTGATCGCTATGCCCTGCCTTTTGAACCTCTTAAAGGTTTTGGGTGGGTCAGTCGGCTCAGGTGTGGCGCAGACATACTCAAAATGTGACATTACCAGGGTTTTCAAATTTACACTGATGCACAAGTCTGAAGTTTTTTCTTGATCACCCTGAAATGTGTTGGATATTTCCAACAGGCAAAGAGCTGTCCTTTTCTGTAATTCTCTCATAATTGTGTTTTCAAAGCTTTTTAGTTTTTATCTTGTTAGATGGTGGTGAGATCTTACTGAACACTGTAGAAATCCATGAAATACTCTGTGTTTGACATAGTAGCTCACTGGTTGAGCGTGTCATTTTAGAAACCTTTAAAAAAAGAAATATAAAAATCAGAAAACTGTAGCAGGGAGTGGGTGACCTGATGTTTTTTTAACACTACAATATAAACTGTTTTTTACAGCAGAGGAGGGTAGAAGGCTTTTCCCCCATGGTATAAGGTTGGTGAGAGCAGATGGATAAATCCATGATATCACTACAGCATTGACTAGAATTGGGCTGTGTCAGCATTCACAATTATTTTGTATAAGTGAAATGGAATGTTGTGTCTTAAAACTTTTATAGACACATGAAAATACTATTATATAACGATTTTAAGTGTGGATACCAGATTGTTACAAAGAGTTTTTCCGATAAATGAATCAAGAACTGAATGAATCAGTTTTACACAGTTTCCAAAATCAGAGTGTCAGGCACACCTTTTTTTAGCCAAAGGCAAACCCTGCATGATGAATATTTTTTACAGTGATCATCAATGATGAAATTCAATATATAGCCATCCACCAGTAGCTGCGTTATTCACTATCAGTCACATATGTTTGAAACCTCACATTTTTATGCAGCCAAATCATTCCTTGTATTTTCGCAGAAGCAGAAAAAAAAGATCTGAAAACAGATTCTTGTAGTCATCTCTTACAGTGAAGTGGAATCACACAAAGATATTGGGAGTATATTGTGCATCTCTTCCACTACCATTGATGTTTTTTGTAAATATCCAATGCAGCTACATTGTGAGCAAAGCGCTGGCATGCTAAGCATGGACATGTGTCTAATAACCACTCATTCAAAGAGGGAGAGGGCCGGTGGGAAGGCAAAGCAAAGATACTTTGATATTTTTGGTGTCATTACTGTATTGAGAAGCTGATGAATGTGCAACTATTTTGAAAGAAGAAGTACATTATACAAGAAAATGTGCCTGTGATATTTCAATGACTCAACTGTGGGTTTAAAACTTTCTATTTCAGCATCAGCATGCATTTCTGAAATAACAGGCTGTCTGTGCCATTGTATCAGTACCATGTCTAATAACACTGGCAAATCCAGCAGAATACTGACAACAGGTCAGTAGTCCGCAGTTATGTTTTCATGTTATTAGTCTGTGAGTCCACTGAAAATGTAGGCTGTAAAAATGAAAGCCTGGTGGTCTGTTGATGACTCAATTCTCTCAGCATCTGAGTAGCATCTACTGTATGAGCACCAGGTTGGATCTGTACATGTAATCATGACATGCAGCAGATATGTATCGGGCCTTTTGTCTTGTTCAGGGAATTCTAGAGCCTTAAATCTTTTCTCGCTCTATTTAAGATATCATGTAACAGTTGTCTTTTCGAATCAATTTAGTAGAGTGTTATTTAACCAAAGCCATACCTTCTTTGAATTGTTTTAATGTCTGTTCACTTTTTGTTTTTCTCTTTTCACTCGGAATGTCAATAGTAATGAATAGTGAGATTCCTCACCTCTAGTCTGATTACACAAATAAATTCTGTTTTGGTATTAAAATGCTATACAAAGGCTTTATTTGTGATGTGCTTTCACTCTGTGTGTCAGTTTTACACTTAAGCTCAAGGAAACACCGTGGAGCACAAACATAGGTCAAACTGTACCGCCTTCATCCTCATCCTCATCCTCTGCGAGTATTAAATAAGAGGAGGAAGGGTAACAAGTTTATCCCTCTAACGTTCTGCTCGACTTTTTGGTAGAGCACATTTCGAGTCACTGTATCTTAGTGAAAAATTTGTGAAACTGACATGAATCTGACTGAGCTATCTCTACCTATTGGGTTAGGTATGTTATACTAAAAACAATCCAGTAGATATCACTGTGTCTTCAAATAGTATGCCTTTTCAGGTCGCCTCCAACAGGAAGTGGGTAACAAAAAAGTCACTCCAGGCTCTGTGGTGAGATTTTTAAAGGTTGGCATATTTTTTCAATGTTATAGTTTCAAAGGACTTATGTAAGTTTATACAAATAAACAAGTCTAATAAAGGTCAGATAATTAAAAAACAAAACAAAACATGCTTCATTTGTCTTTTTATGATAAAGGGGCTAAGCTAATGTAATTGAAATGACCTATTTGCTATGAAATAAAAACACTTCTGATCAGTCATTGTTGTTAATGATACATTTAATGTTATCATATTTATATGCTGATATGCTAATTTCATCAGTATGACGTTTTTACTGTCTAGCCATGCACAACCAAATGGTTGAATTGTCCTTTAATGGTAAAGGTAGTGATGCTAAGACAGTGATTTTTTTTTTTTTTTTTTTTTTGGTGAAATAAAAAAAAAGGATGAACATTCACTGTTGTTATTACCATATATTTGATATTATTACATTATATATTTGATGAAAAAAAAACATCTACGATTTTTCACCATTTCTGACATTGATTTTGGTTTTTATTGCACCAAGGAAATCTATAAAAATGCAAAGAAAAAGCCATTGCTTTTTTTAGTGTGTACACCAAAGGCTTAAGAGAAAATCATCAGACATTAATTAGACTTGACAGATTTCTAACAGCAGTACACGTCTGAAACCAGGTGAGGGCGGTCATGCAATACGATCGTTTGCCAACCGCCATAAAACTTGTAGAAGAAGAAGATTCTCTACTGTGATTGGACAGAGTACCACGTGGTTAAGTCATCATACTCGGAAGAATGACATGTTTATTTATCGTTGCTAACATTTCAGGTAAGTCAAGCTAATTTGTGAAGTCTGGTGAAGAATTTGTCAACACTGTATTATTTTCTACAGCTCGTTATGTGTTTTTGTACAAGCGGAAGAACCATTATGCTAACGTCAGACCGTAACAGGAGCCGAGCCTCTGTTATTACAATTATAATAACACAATAACAATAATACAAAACTCATTAAATAACCTCATATAAAGATATGTTACATGTTGTTTTTCATTAATTTGAGGTTGTTTACCATTCGGCATATAAGCGTTAAGTTTATCAATCATTTGAGGAACTTTTTCAGTTGAAAAATGTTTTTGGGGAATAAAGCAAAACAATTGCATTTTTCATTTAATGAACACTGTTGTTAATAATGTGTGTTTGTTGAATTGAAGAGTCAGTCCTGACAGTCAAATAAAAGTAGTTACAGTGCTCTGGTGTCAAGTGGTGGTTATTTATTAATCACTTAATGAACTGGGCAAATTATTGATATTATATGGATATTGTGATAGGAGACTAGATGTCGTTAAATTATAAGTGTTGTCTGGTTTTAAAGTAACGTCATGTAATTTTCTGAACTTATCAGGCTGTTATAGCTGCTCTGTTTTTTGCCTTTTCTCACTTACTGTTTGTCGAAAATCTCAGTGTGTAAATATTTCGTGGGATAAATCACTACAGTATCGTTGCAATATCCATATTAAGTGGTCTGGTAAAAAGTATTGGGATATTTGATTTTCTCTCTATCGCCCAGCCCTAAATTAAAGGGGTTCTGTCAAACCCCACATCTGTAATGTGAAATATCAGCTGTTGATTTTTTTGTGTTTTTGAAAAATGAGAATGAACATTCAGCATCCATGTATCTCCCAGGTATCTTAATGCTAAAAGGGCACAAACGTTGGCAGGACCAAGATGGCATCTTACTTTGATGAACACGACTGTGAGCCCACCAACCCTGAGGAACAGTATCGCCAGAATGCACTTCTTGAATTGGCCAGGTGAGGCTAAACACACTTCAGACACATTAAAGGGGAACTACTCAAATTTGTGATGTCATAGGGTGTAAAGTTGGAGCTGCTCCATAGACAATGACTTGGTAAAAATGTTGAAGATGACACTGAGAGCAGCCAGGGGAAGAATCTCTGTATATGGGTACATTTTCTGTTTCAGAACTGAAAACACTACAATCAAATAAAGCTCATTTGGGTATAAAAAAGAAAACACACATTCTGTAGGTCCACAAGTCAGGCTCTCATTCATTGTCTGTGGAGCAGCTCCAGACTATACCCTATGACATCACAAGTTTGAGATTGTTTTGTTTGGTTTCTGGCTTTGAGAGAGGGAACCTCATGTTCACAAATATTGATTGAACTTTCCCAGACCATGGAACATCGGAATTCTTAGTTTAGGTGATGTTCCCCTTTCATTGTGTTTAGTTGATCAAGAGTGTACAGTGTTGTGATTGACTATTGGCCTTCGTGTGTAGGTCTTTAATGCAGGGCTTGGACTTACTTGACTCAGGGGCGTTTGACTTGTCAGACTGGGACCAGCGTCTTCCTCCTCCAGCTGCCAAAACTGCTGTTCAGACCCTTACCGTGGTCATCATTTCTCCAGAGCAAGCAGGTGACACACATCAACTCTGGTAGAATTAATTGTGTTTTACATTTATATTCATGATCAGTCATTTTTTAGTGACATCAAACAAATGTAGAGGAAGAAAGTGACGATGGCAGATGGAGAGATCATGCTTACAGACAGGCTCAGAGAAAGTAGGGAGTGATTTAGTCTGACTGTTTGTTTTCACAGACAAAGGTCTCAAGTGTCCGGTGTGTTTGCTGGAGTTCGAGGAACAAGAGACGGTTCGAGAAATGCCTTGCAAGCACCTTTTCCACTCAGGATGTATACTGCCCTGGCTGGGCAAGGTAAAGCTGACAAATTAATAATTCAGAATTTCATTGTACATTGGACATGTAATGGAAAACTTTGAGTGGCTATTTAGAACTCCTTTTAAATCTTTTGTATGTTTGCAAATACAGACTAACTCCTGTCCACTCTGCCGACTTGAATTACCGACCGACAATCCAGAGTATGAGGAGTTTAAAAAAGACAAGGTGAGTGTGTAAACATGCTTGGGATGGTACAATCCTTATGTCCTAGCTGTGCTGTCAATATGACATCAGTCTCTGCCTGGCTGAATAGTGTTTTCTGTCCTGCAGGAGAGAAGAAGACAGAGAGAGCACAGGCTGGAAGACCTACATGGATCCATGTACACATGACATGCTGTGATGCAAGTTTGTAGCACAGTGACATTGTACTAAATTTGACATTATAAATTTTACAAATGTGCACTATGCTGTGTTCATGCCATGTCATACAGAATGTAATTTCAAGCATGAGGATGGAAAATCATGCCCGTGTCTGCCTCATATTTGTAGTTAAGAGTTAGAAACATCAGTGACATCTACAATATCTCCAAACTGACAAAACAGAGCTACAGAACTACAGGAAATTGTTAGCAAAATGGCTGCAAAGCCACCATCACAGGCAGCTCCACCTAAATAAAACCCAATATTACAAATATGCAACACAATAATAACAGTAACAGAGGATTTTCCTGTTCCTTCCATTCATTTGACATGGCTTGAACGCATCATAAGACATAGGAACATTAAATAATGCTGATCTTTAAGTTGGATAAATGCTCTTTTCTTACTTGTTAGGACGAATATATTCTAAGGTGGCTATGCTTTGGACAGTAGGCCTGAAACATTTTAGTTCAGTGTCTTCATTCCTTTTTCTAAATATAAAATCAATGAGCTTTAAATATAAAAAGACATCTGTTGAGTTGTTTTTGTCTAATTAATATGAATAATTTAAAGATATGAACATGCTTTAATCAAGGACTATTTTTACACAATATTGTTTAAATCTGAAAGAATTTTGAAAGTGCACTCCAGCAGTGTAGTAACAATAGTGTACACTCACATCAGTTCTGCATAATAATTAAAGACATAGTGAAAGAAGAAATGTCAAAGTTGAGGCAGCAGAGGTCGAAATATCTTGATCTATAATTTCTAGTATAGGTCGAACTCCAAAGATGCTGGATCCTACATTTCTCATTATGCATGATGTTAGACCCTTCCTGCCTGTCTTTCACACCTTGCTGTCAGTGTAACACAGGCTCTCTGTAAATGTGTAGTCTCCAAGCCAAAGGACAAACTGGACAAAGCTCATCTAGAGCCACAGAAGACATTATTTTTGTGAGTCGTACTACTCATGCGGAGTAAACTGACCTTCATGTGTACAATTGTTTGGAGTTCCCCTTTAACTTGTCCCATGATGTTGCATCTCCTCTCCACAGGCCTGGACAGAGGAACAAGCAGTAACATAACCAGTATGGTCTGGGTTGATTTTGATGCTTCTACATCACATGTTGATTTATACTGCTTTCAAACCACAGCAATAATCTGGGAAAAACTCAGTTTGCCGTTGGTGCTCACGTCTTAACACACATACTTGGACCTGCTGACACTGCTCAGCTTGGTTGTGAGTTTAAACCAACAGTAGTGCAGAAAACAGGTTAGACAAATCATCTCTGTTCTTCAGATGTACTTTGGTACACGTCTGTTTGGCGGCTTGTGAATGTGAAAACACAAAATATTTCTCCTTAATTCTTTCTGTTGATTTTAAGCAGGTCTACAGAGCATGTTCACTTTGCACAGCGTGTTAAGGAAAGCTGTGTTTTGTTTTTCCTTCAGGGCTCCAGTTGTGCTGCATATTTGGTTGGCACAAATATTTTTTTTCTCTAAATATGAACACACTGAGAAGAATGGGTTATCTGTTTTCGCCTGTCCCACACTGGTGTTGTGAAGCAGCAATAAATAGCTTACGGATGTGCATGGAGAAGTTTACTGGTCTTTTATATTCCAACACAGATTGACTGAAAAATATTGAATTGTCTTAATAAAATTAATTTGGTTAATTTTTGGTGTCTTTTTAGATAATACAATACAGTTTAAGCTACCTATAGTGTGGTTATACAGTAGCCTAAAGTAAAATATATAGTAGTACCACAGTAGACTAATTATAGTTGAAGAAAATCAACAATAAAAGAAAGTCCAGTCCAAAAGTTTGCTGTGCTGATGTGAGGCATCGAAATGAATGCGAACCAGGGGCCCCCTCTACTTGCTCTGACCGCACCCATGATCTAACTTGCCCTTAATTTTTTAGAAAGATTGTGACCCAGCTGCCATGTTGGAGACAGTCTAACCGATGCAAAGCACTGTCCACTGAATAGAGCAAACTTTCTCATTTTACAGCTAAACAGTCACTAAAATATGTTACTGAAAAGATTTGAGGTGCTAAACAGGCAATGCAGTGACAGAATCTTGATTCATATTTGATCAGCACTGCCTAGTTTGACAGTTTGACCTTAGATCACGAGTCGTGACTGAAAGAATTGACAGCTGCATTAGAGGCCCCTCAGCTCTAATTTGTTGTTTTTGGTGAGCCACAGTAGAGTCTAGCAAATGCCATTAGACGCAGTGGAGGAGGAGGGACATGGTATGTGTCACAGACTCTCTCTCTCTCTCATGTACATTGTTTTTACATGAGTTGTCAAGAGTTGGAGATCTCGGCTGTAGAAATGTCTGCCTTTTCTCCAGTATTACAGAACTATATGGCATTCAGCATGTGGTGCTCAAAGCACCAAAACATATTTGAAAAACTCAACAGCAATGTCTCTTTCCAGAAAACATGACCTGGTTACTCAATATAATCCACAGACCTTGTTGTGAGCAGTTTTACGTAGGAACTATTTAAGAACTACACCCGTCCCTATATCACTGTGTAGAAGGAAGTGATTCAAATCTGCTCCAAATTATAATGGGTTCTTTTTTGGCCTATGCAACACCTTTCCACTAAGTTAAGTCAAGCCTGTTGACTTTGTTGATACAAATAAACCAAATAAACCAAACCAAAAGCATAACCTTCTTTGTGGAAGTAATTTCCCTACCTCTTCTAGAATACCCAAAGGAGAAGTTTTTTTTATTTATTTAACTGAAAAATTCCACAATATGATAATGGGACTTGAATTTGTTCAGTAGAAGCCATTCTTTGTCATCTGCTCTGCCAAAAGTTGTTTCTATTTCTGCTTGCAAATAAAGACATTTTTAAATAAAAGCAACCACTCTGACTATTAACCATAGTTTTAGCATGGTAGTAAAACTATTCCACATGGTCTACATAAGTACTGCATGAATACGTCATTGTCCTCTGTGTTGGGCAGCAACTTACTGACAATGTTTACAAAGACAACAGCAAGAACAACCCGTGCAAAACATCTAATAATTTATCATTTTTATTTCATATTTGAATATAAATCTCTGTCAAATGAAAATACCTAAATGATAGACAAATCATACATATTTACATAATTTATAAAAGGAAACAAAATAATCTGTGTTTTTAAACTTGTTCTGGGGATTTCTCGGACTCCATTACCATTCTTTTACATATTTTTCAAAACGAGGAAATCTGACTAATACATTTTTATAGACACTGTTTCTGGGTTGCTGTTGCAAGAGTTCAAGACATGTACAGGTCAGGCAGCCTTTAGTAATATAGGATTCTCCCACCAACAAATATATCATATGACAGTTACTGGTGTGTACATTTTGACAGAAAAAGGAAAAAATAGTAAAATCCACCTTTAAATTTTGGCCTGTGGAAGATGGTATTATGGAATAAACGCTGTTACAGAATAAATCCAACCCTGGTGTGAGGGCTCATACAAGCTGCCATTTGTAGTCACACAGTGTGACATAGTTACAGTTTGGTGAAATAGGCTACAGCTGAACACAAGATAAAAAAAAAAAAAAGAAAAAAAAGAAAAAAGAAAATCTGAACATGTTCCCCTGGCACAGCACGAGGGATAAGGCTAAAACAGTGCACTCATACCAATTCATACACCTCCTGCTGACACACAGAATACCAGTCAAAACTCCAGTAGATTCCAGTCTTTTTTGGCGAGATTTGCAGAACACAGGATTGCTGCAGTCCCAGAAAGAATGGGAATTTAAATAATTTGCACAAAAGTAAAGAAAACTGACCTGACATGTGACTACGCAGCTCGTAAAACAGCAGATCCACTGTCCTGTCAAATGCTGATACTTGTTAGGGTTTTGTGGATCGAGCTGTGGATTGCTGAGCCAGCATAATATTAAATACTTTGCTCAACCTCAAACCGTTGTGAGATGGAAAATATGGTGGAACTCTAGCTTTTGCTTCAGAACATCAAACCCACAAAAGATAAGAGGTAGGTGATGTGACCTTTTTAAAAATGTGTATTGCTGGCATCCAGTGGTTAGACAGTTAAAAATGTTTCAACACTACGCAGAGGGCAGAATACTGTGTGTTATGAAACATACTTCTCAGCTGGCTCACAGAGAAATAGTTCGCTCACTTAACTAAAAACTTGTGTAACCTAAACTGTGTGGCATTAGTCAGCTTTAGTTGGAGGAGTGGTAGTTTGTGGCAGTCTGGTGTTAAGATAATTCACTTTGAGAAATTGGCAACAGGAAATCATACAAAAACCTCAATGACACACTTTCCTTCCAGTCTACAACCTGTATGGTACTGTCTGTTTATAACACTATATTGACGCCACTGTGACGCTACGAGGTTTATGGCACACAAGCATCAAATTCATCTCTCAGTTAACAAAACTTTCCCTGTAACATCACTTCATATTTAACAGAAAACCTGTTCTGAAAACTCAAGTAAGGCTTCCAAGGGTCCAGCCTGGAATCAAAACAGTGTGAGAGCAAGAATTATTCTGTAAATGCATTAGTCAGACTACAGTTTTACCTTTACACATCTATTTTACCATGAGATGTAGGTCACTTAAAATGTCTTGGTGTTACTTAAAAAAAAAAAAAAAAGAGAAAAAGCCCTGTGATCGACTCCAACATACTGAAAAAGGCATTATTCTCTCCAGTGGAGTGTAAATTATCAAATGATTGATGGCAATTATTGCACCAGGCATGACAGAAACAAAAAGGTTGCATGAAATGTAAAGGTTACAAAAGAACCATCAGATTATGCAATGTGGGAAAATAACGGAATGACATCAAGGGAGACGACTACAGAGATTCTCAGTTAAAAGTGACTGTGATGGTCCTAGTTACAACACAGCAGAGCTTTCTTTCACAGCCATGCTGCACTCGCATACCAATAACATAAAAAACAATCTTAAGAATGATAGTGGCTCAAGATACGCATATAGTTTGTAAAATTATTCAAAAATACCATCAAAATTTGCAGTCAAAATCATCTGCGCAACCAAATAAAACTGTCAGTGAAATAAATGATTTTTGCCAATTGTTTGATGAATAATTTATGCTCGATTGATTTAAAAAGGCCGTACGCTTAAAGCCTGTAAAACATACATAACTGTTAATTATTCACTTCTCAAACATTCAATATTCTCTACTTACTACGCAAATTCAAAACTCAAACAAAAATTGTTATTCTCTCATTCAAAAAGTGTGCCGTGCAGAGATAAGCAAAAGGCCAAAACAGGTGGGCCACGCAAAGCACTGGGTAGTTCATGAAGGAGTGTCTGGGCAGGGGGATAATAACTTTGTGGGTGCACCAGTGGTGCACAGTTATAAAAAGGAAAGAAAAAAGTGTCATTAGAAAACAACCAACTCCTGTGAACAAGTGCCCAAATCAACAGCCATCTTGGATAACATTCATGGTTCCAGTACTCAGACTGGCTCCACACATTCAGCCTCCACTCATCATCACTACAGTAGATTTGACTGTAGTGGCTTGCACCAACATTGGGGGGAAAAAGATAGTACAGCATTAAAGATGGGATAACCTGGTGCTGGTTCAATGGTTAAAGATATCAGGACCTTCTCTCTTCCTCCATTGGCTACCTCTGTCGCCTTGCCTTCCTGTGGGAGCCCATCAAACACCTCTGCAGTGACATGTAAGACCTTTGGGCAGCGATGCAGAGCTACAACATAGCTATGCTCTCAGGGGTACAGTTGAGATGTGTGGACGTGCTGCTGCCCCCAGGGGACTTGAGGCCCTTAGTCGCCCCGCCCATTGTTGAGCTCCGCGCCCTGGGGCCCATGATAACCCCTGAGCCGTGGTGATGGCTCTGCTGCAGGCCTGCCATCATGGTCTCGCTGGTGACGGTGCCAAACTCGTAGGTGAAGGTGCCGTAGAAGACCAAGATGTCCACGGTGAAGACCCACTCACAGATGGCAGCAGTGTGCTGCAAAATGAAACTCTCGTGGATGAAGAAGATGCCGCCTGGAAGGAGGGCGAGTTAAAGAGGACAAACATGTCTGGTACAAAACAAATAAAACTCATTCTCCTATTTCACTGAATCCACAGAGGCACAGGAAAGAGCCCAAGCCAAATCCATGATATAATGAGATGAGAAATATGACAAGCAGCTTAACCTCAGGGGGCCAAATGTGAATTCATTACATCATTAGGGTTAAATTAAAATTGGCTTTGCAGCTCAGATGGATTTAAAAATCAAATACGAGTCAGTGAATACAGAATCTTAACCTCAGACAGACTTATTATTTATCAGATCATTTCCATTAACCTGGGTCTCATCCCTTTTCAAAGGAATAAAGGTGACAATAATGAGTATTGGAGAAAAAACAGTCCTCCTGCATGTCACCGAGAGGCAGGCAGGGAAAAGAGGCCACCATACGAAGTGACGCAATCGGCATCCCTGTTAGACAAGAGCGGACAGAAAGACCGATGAAACTGAGCCCAGACAGATGTTATCTTGGCTTTACTGTTCTGTCTCAAAGTTGAGGCACAATCATCTTAACTGAGTGTCTCAAGGCTAGTGAAGCCAAAAGGAAAATAAAACAAGAGGTCTCTCCAATGTATTATCGGTATGCCACCACCTGAGTGCACTGATCTCAAAATGGCTAGGTAGAGCCATGACATGGTTAACTAACAAGATGGAGCAACAGGGAAGACAGCAACCAGGAACTACACCACATAATTTTTGATATGAAGAAAAATCAGGTTAGAACCAATAACAGTGGCTTAGCCCAATGAGTCATTCCAGTGTCCAAGGACCAGCAATATCAGGTCCCTCCAACTGGTTGACCTAAACTACTTTTGTAGGACAACATAATGTCCCAGAAATAATTGTGATAGACGATATTGTCATTTTAAGACCACTTTATCATTTTTGGAATGTGAAAAAAATATTCAGAATATTTTTTGAAGTAATTTACACCTGTTAACATACATAAGAACATTTATTAGCCCTAAAATTAGTAGCCCTCAATAAAAACAAAACCAAGTGATTTTTCTTACGACTAATAAACTCCATAAACTCCATAATTCTGCCAGTGTGCTGCTGAGGGTGGATAGCTTGGTTTCTGCTGGTGGATCTACAGAGTGGAGGGTGAAGTTGTTGGAGGGTAAAACTACAAAACAACAGACTTTGTGGCTCGTTGCCAGAGGATGGCAAGCTAACAACTATCAGGACTGTGTGTCTTTCAGTCGAAAAGTATTGCTGCTGGCAACCAGTAAGCTATGTCAAGTTGTCTTGTGATTAAATGATGTACTTAAAATAACTCAAAATACACACACAGAAAACACATGTGAAAAATTGTGTTTAAATACAACACCTACTGTATCTGCACAACAAGTGGAACGTCCCACTAGTAAGTAAAGGATACTGAGGACAAGGGAAACCATGGCTCCCAGTGCCAGAGCCACTCTAAAATGGGCCATCCAGTAGTCGAGGGCGGTCACAGCCACCCGGTAGGTGAGCACACACTGCAGGCATACAAACAGCAACCCTGCTGGAAATGCCACACCGGCACCCACATAGTGTAGAGATTTGGCGTGATCAACCTGACAAACAGAACCGCACAGTCAGCAGGGTTGTATCAACTCATCTGAGGGCAAAAAATAGAAGCAAAAGGCCACTTAAGTGTTTTCGTGTTTACCTGGAAGTTGCCCACCATAACCAGGCCCACAGCATTGGTGCAGCCGGACACCAGAGCGCTGGTGTTGACCCAACATCGGTGGCTGTGTTCTATCACCTGGGCGTAGCGCAGAAGGCACACCATCACCACTGCAGGACACAGAGGAGGACATACACATTTACAGTGCATCCATTACAC